TAATGAAGCCGACATGAACCTTCAAACAGCTGGGGGCGATTTTCGTTTGCATAAGTGGACAAACACATCGGTGCCTTACATGAGCTTGTTCCCTATGAATTTCAATACTAATGCTGTTCTGGAATATTAGAATTTCCATAATAGATTAGTAGATTACAATTTAGTATTTTATTTAATTTTTTTACATAACTGACCAGCTGCAAGGCTATTAATCTGTTGTGTTTGTCATAGATTCAGTGATCTGGGCTGTTATTTTTTATTTGATCAGTGGGGTGTGAGATTAATTAGTCTGTGTTCTGGGAGGTATGAAACCCCTCTGATCGGAGTCTGTGTGCCATGTGATTTACAGAGTCTTTAGGACATGTTTGATGTTTGCAGATGTCATTTCAATGACTAGAGCAGTGATGTACTGTAAGACCTTCTGTCGTAAACTGGGTGCTCTATTTTCAAACTAGAACACTTCATTTTTATCAAAGATTTGTAACCTGCACATTTACAAGAATGTAAAAGTAAAAAATTATCAATATTTTTTAAAATGGTTTTCTCCTCAGGATTTCAGTATTTTATATTTAAATTGATCTTAAAAAGATTAGTCTATTATCTGCATTTCGTACTTTGACATTTAGTTGGTACAATGGCAGATAGACATGCAATCTCATGTCATGTTTAAATATTTTTCAGCTTTTGTTCGAGCCTCAGGTACACTCAATTAATCAAGGGCACTTAATTAATTTAAAGCAGTCAATTAAAATCTAATATGTATTTAGAATTCAGACTTTGATCACTAATCAGTGTTAAATATGACACTGCAACATTTTACTTTAAATTGTGATCAGCTGCTATTGCTCTTATTGCAGATCTTTGCCTATTCAGCACTGTTCAGAAGATGAATTATTCAGTTCCACTTTACTACTCAGAAATCAACTGGTAAATCTGGCCTGAAAGTGTCAAATCTCTGCTGTTGCACAGTTAGGTAAGGAACTAAACTAGAGTTCAACAATCAATCTACTTTTTCCTGGGGGTTATAATTGCTGAGTGCACATTGGATGTCATATTGAAGTTTATCCATGTGTCTGTAGCCAAATGTGGAACAGACAGGGCTACAACATCATAATGTGATCTGGGACAGGATTCATTTTTCTATGTTATTGTTTTTAAATGGAGTTATTATTTACCATCATTTCATATTGTTTACAGGACCAGTTGGACAAATGATAAATAATGGTATTTTATGTGAATGGTATTTTACGTCACATCTGAGTCTTCTATACATTTTGTCTAAAACATTGATTGAAATTTCAAGTTGCCATCCGTTTAAAAAATAGAAATTTGAGAAATAAATCTTCAGGAATGACAGAGTTTTGGAGGCTGTTTACACCTGTATTTAGTGCTGGCCACTTGTAAGTGTGTTGTCTGAGACTGATGTTAATAGTAGGTATAGTATAAATAGGGCTACACACCCATTCGGTTCCTAACAGTTTGCTGTCCAACAGCAAGTCTCTGGACAAAATTAGATCGATAATAAAAGAGAATATATCTTATTTTTTAATAATTGGTCCCTTCAGCTCTGATACTTCAAATGTTTCTCATTGATTTATCCTTTATAGCTTTTATTGCACTGTATTCATCGCTTTACTCCTAATTTCCTGTTATCAAGAGTGCTGAGTGTACTGTATGAGTTGAAGACTTACTGTCTGTTGCTGAACTCTCTTCTTGACCTTGGCAGAATTGAAGTTGATTGCATTACTTCAGATTTGTGTCTTGGCCTGCGTACAAATGTGTATGTCCTGAAGACGTTTCATCGTAAAATGTTCTTGCTTGCAATAGCAAACATACAGTCTATTCCAAAACTTAGCAACTACCTCACAGCCTTTTTGCTATTCAATTATATAGTTTTATTATTTATTAAATATATTTACTGTTTAATTGACATTTTACTACGCTTGTTAAGATGCATTTTAGAATCGTTTTTATCCATGAAAGATACTGCCTTGGGATTTAAGTATCTTAGGCATCATAAATAAGTTGTCTACCCTTAGGAAAAGGATTGTTCATATGATGTTTTTGGAACAGAGCTTGAATTGTTGGCTACATGTTTGATTACATAGATATTAACTTCAAATAATGTATTTCATGTATCTTCAAAGATTAAGGAAAGGGCAGTGCAATCTTTTTTTTTGTCAGTTGTATGAAAGCTTTGTGCATAATATGTTTCTTTGATCATGAAATCATTTGATATGAAATCATTCTGAGCAAGATCACACTAAGCTCTTTGAGTTGCAGTAAGTAATGTTTGCATTTAAGATGCCTGGGCTGTCGGAGGATGTGCAGTCATTCCAGCATAAGCATAAATCTGTTGTTAATGCTTGGCTCAGAAAATGGGTTTTAACTGAAAAATTCAGCAGCTTTACCATTCGCTCAATCAAAGGCTGAAACTTTTAGCACTGATTGAGTTATCTGGGTGTTCAGAAACTCCAGAAAGTGTTATTTTTCCAATGTAAAATACTTTTTCCTACTCCAGCTTGATATGCAGAGACAATAAGCAAGCCATTTGTAGGTTGAATGCCTCAAGAAGTGTAAACACCATTACTTGTTTTGCTTGTTTGAGCATCCTGACCAGCCCAGCATAGCAATCGGCTTAACCAATGGTGTGAGTTTTGGGTGGGGCTATTGATTTGCCTGACCAATGGTAGGACAGAAGGAGTGTTTAAGAAACCTGTTTGAAAACAATCACTTTTTTTTGCAACTGATGCTAGTGATGTAAAATTACACTCTTCACCATAAACTATAGATGTTCACCACACTAAACATTCTGTACTCAGTCTTTCTAAAAGCATTATATATAAACAAACATAAGACTTTATTATCATATTTCCATCCATGGAGAAAGGATAATCTATTGAGCTTTTTTTTTTATCTGTTACAAGGAAAGCCTGAAGAATGGGTTGACTGCAGAGCCGTATACATCTCGGCCAGATTTTCAGCTTAGTCCTGGATTATCAGTAACACTGGGCTTTTTCAGTAAATAATACTCAAGTAATTGCTGTTTGGACAGGTGGTGGGATATGAGAGAACAGAGCAATAGTTCTTTCTTTTTTTTGTTGGCATCCTAAAAAAATGTGTATGTTGGTTTCCAAAATTAATGCAGATTTGTAAAATTATAAAACTTCTTTAAAACTTATTGTACAATTGACAGTTGTCCCTGCCAACTAATTTCATGCATAGATGTGCTTGTTTCATATCTCTCATTGCACACATTGGTCTCTACTCTCTAGCCACATATTAAAATAATTTCAGCTTAAATAAATATTTATTTGGGAAGTGCGTCGGGTCCTGATCCCCAGTGACTGGTATATTAGAACTTCTGTGCGCCCATTGGAATTAACTACAGGGTGCAGTTTGGAGAGGTTAGTGTGTGTTCTTGTGAAGGTGTGAACTGAGTGTTTGAAAGCTGGCCTCCAGATGCTTTTGAGTCTTGTCAACTTTTCACAGCTCTAAGCCATGACTAATCTTTTTTTTTTTTTTTTTACTCCATGGATGATGAACCGTAGGTCAGTTGATTAATGACCATGTTAAAGCACTCTGGGGGGGGACTGAGAATCTGGCCTTTTAAGGTTATAATGGAGGATGGATTGTCACAGTGATGTTGTAGAGTAAAAGCCCATAAAGATATAGGGGTGGCCAGTATTACCAAAATATTATTTTTTCGTCATTTTATATGAAACTAATGGTTTCACATCACAATAGTTAATATAGGGACTTGCACAAGACAAAATGAAGTATATTGGTTCATAAAGTCCAAAATATAATTAATAGGACCTTGTAAAGATCTAGGAGTGGGCAGTGTGATCAAAACATTGTTTTCAGTAATTTTATTTGAACGCTATGGTATATATCACTATATAGTTAATATAGGGAATTATAAAAGACAAAACAAGCCATGTATTGTGGTTCATAAATTTCAAAGTGGAATTAATGGGACCTTGGCCAGGATAATTATAGGCTTTTTGACTTTATCATATAACCAAGATAAAGAGGCTGGCTGCTGACAGCAAGAGATTTATAATGGTGCACTAATGGTGCCATGGCCATTATTCAAGGTCAGTCTTTTGGTCTGCTCTTCATGATGGAGACCTGACTAATGCAGACAGCTTCCACAGTCTTCTTTTGTCTCAAGGGGCCTTGAACACTTGGTAATGATCTGCAGTGGTCCATGTGGTTTAGCAAATGGATGAGAAAGTGTCATTTTTCCAGTGACGAGTTTCAAGGACTAGAGGAAGGCAGTAGAGTACTTGTCCAAAAAGACAGTTATGGAGTAGCCTGCATGAAGCAACACAAAAAGCTGTAGAAATTCTGTTTTGTGTGAGAAACTAGTAATTGATATATTTCTTTCAATTTCAATTGTTTTCACTAGATTTCTGCATGACTCTGGAGTCTGTCCTCATCCACCATGAGCGAATCATGAATCATTGTGAATTTATGAATTTGATGAATTGAAATCTGTAGATTAATTCGCTAATTCGGTTAGTTATAACCTATTGATATAACCCGTTTCATCAGGCATCCTTCACAGCAGTAAAGCAGCCATCTCACCCTCTTTTTCAGTCTCTTTATTGAAGGGTAGACCAATTACCCGGGACCAATGTGACCCCTGATAATGAAGAACTGATTGTGTGCGAGAGACACAGAGGACCATGAGAAACATGCCCCTAAAAGGGAGAGAGAAAGCGAATAATAGGGACTTAAAAGTGGTCTTGAGCTAACATTCAGCATGTCAGTAGGCTTGCAGCAAACAATAATTACCCACTGGGAATGGCAGACCTGCGTTTGTCCGATGGTGAACTCTTTCGTCGGCTCAAAGGAGGGCCTTTGTGGGTGTGTGTGAATCTGAGAGGGTGGCCGTACACAAGGCCACCAGACTTTGGGGTCCTGCCAATGTTCACTCCCACTTTCAATCCAATCAGGATGTTGGATGCAGTTACCAGCCACAATGACGGCAATGTGATATCAGCTTGCACCAATGGAATGGAATAGAACAGAATGAAAATGAATGGACGTAAATGGCTAGGAATGGCACTCTGTATAATGGAATGAAATGGAATAGTGTGGAACACATTACGTGTAACAATAGAATGCTATGGATGGAATAAAAGGAAATAAATGAGACTGGAAGGACGGTAAGATCCGCTTGCACTGTAATGCGTGCACAGCTCTCCCAATCCATGGAATTTAGCCGCATTGTGCTTAATTCCTAAAAAGTTAATTCCTTTTCTGATCAGTGGGACTGAGTGGGAAAGATAAACAGACTGCTGCTGTTTTTGCCTCTGTCTTTTTTTCCATATGCTGTGTCTGTTTTATTAATGCACTCATTATACACCCAGTAATCACCTGCTAATGGAGCAGGATCAAATCCAAAACAGTAACAACCAAGAACACTGAAAATATTCAACCCTGTTAATGTAATTTAGACTGAGAGTAAGAGCATTATTGGGAGGTCGCTCTAAATGTGGACAGCACAAAACACTTTATGAGTGAGTTAGGAAACATGAACCGTTCATTGCATTTTTGCTTTATAAATGTTACAGTAATTTGCATACATAAGAATGCTTTGGCTTGTTTGCTGACCAAACATGAATTCTGCTTATGTGCACTATAGATTCACTTTTGTTTTGAAATCCTGTCAACAAGAGGTTGTAAGGCCCTGTTTAGAGGACTTGTCTTTTATCTCGGCCTCTCTAAAGATCTGTGATTTGTGTGATCTCACTCTTTGTTTGCTGAAACTAGTGGCTGTAGTAAGATATCTGAGATTTTGCTTTGAGAACTTTAAAGTTTTGTTACAGCATTGGTTCTTTTCCTTTAGTTAGTGGTGGAGCCTGAGCCATGCATCGCTGTCCCAGACGAGTGCTCCGCATGTCTCATCTGAATGCCCTCTGTTCCAGTGAAATAAAAAAATGCAGTCAACAGGTTTGTGTGCCATTTAGAATTGAGAATACCTTTAAAGGGGTCGTGAACTGAGAAATCAAAATTCCCTTGATCTTTTGACATATAAGAAGTCATTGTACTATAAAAACCTCCTGTAAGTTTCAGAACTCAAAACTTTCTTGTTAGTCTAAAAACTTATCTTGGCTTATCTTGAAGCCAATCTGCCAAAACGACAGGTTGTGGAATGTGCCACTTTATGATGTAATAGTGTGGCTAAACCCCGCCTCCTCAGAAGAAGATCAATGGCTGCTTCTACATCACTGCCTGTTTAGCCCCGCCCACCGATTCACGCATATGTAGTGTTTATGAAAGAGGCGAATGCAGGTCTATGCAGAAACCAAACGATAAAGATGCTCCGAAGACAACAAGACGCTGTTCAGTGCCAAGCTGTTGGAAAACAGTCTTTGCATTGCCTTCCTTCTTATCCCAACGTTAGGATAGATTGGATGAACTTTATTTTTAATGAAGATCCAGACCGCATCAGTAAGAACTCGGTCCTTTGTTCACTTCATTTTATCGCAGATTTGTTTACAAACAAGGCACAATTCGACGCAGGATTTTCAGAAAGATTGTAACAACAATCTTGAGAGAGAAAGATGAGGGGGGTCAAATCAGGACAGAAAATAGCCTATTCTAAAGTATGATGTTTTTTGATGTAAAAATCTTGATATCATTATAAGTGGACGTCAGAGAACAGTAAAAAGGCAGTTCATGACCTCTTTAAAATTCCAATTCAGTTCCTGAATTCCTGAATTTGAATTGAGTAATCAAACTGTAAAAATGGCCCCGAAAACAGCCATTTTGCATCGCCTTCCTTCTGATCCCAACTTTAGGAACGAGTGGATTAACTTTTTTTAATAAAGATCCAGACCATGTCAGTAAGAACTTGGTCCATTGTTCACTTCATTTTATCGCAGATTTGTTTACAAACAAGGCACAATTCGACGCAGGATTTTCAGAAAGATTGTAACAACAATCTTGAGAGAGAAAGATGAGGGGGGTCAAATCAGGACAGAAAATAGTCTATTCTAAATTATGATGTTTTTTGATGTAAAAATCTTTATATCATTATAAGTGGACGTCAGAGAACAGTAAAAAGGCAGTTCATGACCCCTTTAAAATTCCAATTCAGTTCCTGAATTCCTGAATTTGAATTGAGGTGGAAAACAGTTTGCAGATTTGCTATTTGAAAGTAAGGAAGTAGAATTAAAATGAATTGAAATTTTATGTAAAACATTTTTTTGTAATTGATATTCAATGTCTGAATGCTGGCTTGACAAAATCTGGTTTGAAAGTTTTGAAAAAGTTTCAAAATCCTTGAAGTGTGAAGGATTGAGGATAGAATATACATTTCATCATTTAATTAACTTTTGTGAACCAAGATGGAAGAACGCTTCATTTCCTAGATCTAGAATGCATCGACTGTGTTACATTTCTTTGAATTACAATCTACTGAATTTCTCTCTGTCTGCTTCCTGTGGAGTGTGGCCAATTCAATTCAGAATAAACTCGTGAATTGAAAGGAAACTAATTCTTCAGTTCTGAATTTTGTTCAACCCTGACAACCACACACAACTATTAACATGTACTGACATCTGTCGTTTTAATTGGTTTATTTTAGTTTAATTAATTTATTTGGTTTAGTTGAACTTGCAACCTCTCACACCTAAGTCAGGATATACCATTCAAATGTTTGGGGTCAAATACATTTTTTTTTAAATGTTTTTAAAAGTATCTTATGTTCACCAAGGATGGATTCATGATTTGACCAAAATATACTGCAAATTGTAATATTTTTCTATATTATTGCAATATAAAATAAGTGTTTTCTATTTAAATATATTTTAAAATGTTATTTATTCCTTTAATGGCAAAGCTGAATTTTGAGCAGCCATTACTCCAATCTTCAGTGCCACATGATCCTTCAGAAATCATTCTAATATGTTGATTTGGTGTTCAAGAAATATTTCTTATTATCAATGTTGAAAACAGATGCACTACTTCATATTTTGTGGAAACCACCATTCCTTAAACAGTTCAAACAAAAGTTCAAAAGAACAGCATTTATTTGAAATATAAAACTTTTGTGACATTATAAATGTCTATTACTTTTGATCAATTGAATGTATCCTTTCTGAATGGAAGTATTAATTTCTTTAAAAAAAATCGTACTGACCCCAAACATTTAAACGGCATATGTTCACGTAGGTGGGCTTAGCCCCCCAAATCTTGGGCTTGCCATCAACAGTCCGTAAATATAAGCTTCATTAAAATTGAAAATAAATAATAAACTTATCCTGCACAGCTCATCCTGCAGCCGAGATTTGTTTCATCCTAAGTCACCATATACAAATAACAGTCAGTAGCACTCTGTTTAACAGCATTAACACACTAGTGTTATATAAACAGAATTTTAGATTTACTCTGGGACTACAAAAAATGTAAACCTCTGTGGTGGCAGTGTGTCTGTGGGTCTAATAATTCATTCTCAGCTTACACTTGTGTGAGGTATTTCTCATATCGCTGTCGAATGCATTGAAGTTGGACAAATCATCAAGCACTTTGCTCCTGCCAAAGAGGAGTGCTTAAACAATGCTGTCAGGCACATTAGGAATGTCAACAGCTATTCCTGCATCTCAGGTGGGAGGTCTGGCTTTTAGTGACGTAATGGGTACAAACCATTGTGATGTGCAATTATTCTGTCAACAAAGAATTCTTACCATTTCACCATTGTTAAGGATAGAGACCATATAATCGGTCAAAATGGCATCCTTCTGCATCATGCAGGTCTGATCTGAGAACTTGAATTCATGGTGATGGTCAAGTTAGATAATGAATCACTTTTAGATATGGGTATAGTTTTATGCATAAGTAAAATTTCTATCATTATTCAATATCATCATAATCAATAAAAAAATCCTTGTATTTGGCTCTAGCTTTGTATTATTTTGAAACCCATTTTTGTGTTTCATTTATAAGTCACCTAAATTACCTGCTGAAGGATTCAAGTGTGAATATTCTCTAATCTTCTAAAAAATACTGTTTTTATGCTTTGAACTCATATCCCAGTGAACATGTAGAGCTGCAGTGCATGCCATCATGGGAGAAGCATAGTGTTGAAGGAGGGGATGTGTGAACTTCATTAGCCATGCGAGGTTTGCTTCTCCCACGGCTAATGTATTAATACATTTCCACAGCAGAATTTTTTGTGTGTGTATATGGCATCTTAGCAACAACAAGCCTTTTTACCACATCTCTCAAAGGAACCCAGTCATTTCTTTCTCATGCAGGCACCTTTCTCCGTGTTCACCCCTCCCACATGTGTTCTTCCGTTCTTCTCGTAGTTCACCCTACTTCTGCAATTTATCTTCCGCCCACTCTCTCAAGACTCACCAGCTCTTTGTCTTGTTCTCACCTTCCTTCGCAGTCTCTCTTTCTCTTGCGCTCTCAGCTCATTTTTTATTCATATTCAGAATGGTTTCTGAAAGGAAGAACGGAAACTTCAGTGCTGCATGCAGGCGCTCAGCAGCAAGGACATTTACACCGCATTCCTCACTGACGCTGACAGACGGCTTTTTGTGTGCATGTACTCTACACAGGTCACATGTAGCCTCAGAGCACTGGTTGTTGTGGTTTTTCCCCTCTGCCTCTTCTTCAGTTGCATTAATGAGATATTTCTTAGAAATCTTAGAAATTAAAATTATATCATTATTTGCTTTCCTCTGTGCAACACAAAAAAGTGGTTCATACAACTCGTGTGATGTATTAAAATACTTCAGTCAATGTCAGTGGGTTTGCAAAAAGGTGTTTGTTTGCCATTTAATTTGATTCATTCAATCAGTTCACTCATTCACTGAATCATTAATATCATTATAAGTGGACGTCAGAGAACAGTAAAAAGGCAGTTCATGACCTCTTTAAAATTCCAATTCAGTTCCTGAATTCCTGAATTTGAATTGAGGTGGAAAACAGTTTGCAGATTTGCTATTTGAAAGTAAGGAAGTAGAATTAAAATGAATTGAAATTTTATGTAAAACATTTTTTTGTAATTGATATTCAATGTCTGAATGCTGGCTTGACAAAATCTGGTTTGAAAGTTTTGAAAAAGTTTCAAAATCCTTGAAGTGTGAAGGATTGAGGATAGAATATACATTTCATCATTTAATTAACTTTTGTGAACCAAGATGGAAGAACGCTTCATTTCCTAGATCTAGAATGCATCGACTGTGTTACATTTCTTTGAATTACAATCTACTGAATTTCTCTCTGTCTGCTTCCTGTGGAGTGTGGCCAATTCAATTCAGAATAAACTCGTGAATTGAAAGGAAACTAATTCTTCAGTTCTGAATTTTGTTCAACCCTGACAACCACACACAACTATTAACATGTACTGACATCTGTCGTTTTAATTGGTTTATTTTAGTTTAATTAATTTATTTGGTTTAGTTGAACTTGCAACCTCTCACACCTAAGTCAGGATATACCATTCAAATGTTTGGGGTCAAATACATTTTTTTTTAAATGTTTTTAAAAGTATCTTATGTTCACCAAGGATGGATTCATGATTTGACCAAAATATACTGCAAATTGTAATATTTTTCTATATTATTGCAATATAAAATAAGTGTTTTCTATTTAAATATATTTTAAAATGTTATTTATTCCTTTAATGGCAAAGCTGAATTTTGAGCAGCCATTACTCCAATCTTCAGTGCCACATGATCCTTCAGAAATCATTCTAATATGTTGATTTGGTGTTCAAGAAATATTTCTTATTATCAATGTTGAAAACAGATGCACTACTTCATATTTTGTGGAAACCACCATTCCTTAAACAGTTCAAACAAAAGTTCAAAAGAACAGCATTTATTTGAAATATAAAACTTTTGTGACATTATAAATGTCTATTACTTTTGATCAATTGAATGTATCCTTTCTGAATGGAAGTATTAATTTCTTTAAAAAAAATCGTACTGACCCCA